GAGTAGCTGGGACTACAGGCGTGTGCCGCAAAGCCCGGCTAATGTTTCTATTTTTGGTAGAGATGGGGTCTCTCTCTTCTCTTGCTCAGGCTGGTCTTGAATTCCTGACCTCAAGCAGTCCTCCCTCTTTGGCCTCCTAGAGTGCTAGTATTACAGGTGTGAGCCACTGTGCCCAGCCTTCATAATCATTTGAATAAGTTTTATACTTATTTCCAGAATTTGAGAAGTATTTGGGCTGTAAAAGTAAAGCTCTCTTACCTAGTCTTAAGGAGAAAAATGAGGCTCAGAGAAGTTCATTAACTTTCCCAAGTAACACAGCTGATTGGCAGCCAGACAAGGGCCAAAAAGTCCTGATTCAAACATAGGAACCCTGTAGCAACATGATGTCCTCCATTCTGTTCCCATCCAGAGTGCTCATAAAGCAATTTATAGATAATGTTTAGCATATTAAGTTATAAAAAATTAAGTATCTTATGTTTCTGAGTTATCTTGGAATTTTTCATTTGACATGTTTTTGCCCTAGAAGAATAGAAACCAGAACCTGGTATTATAGTGCCTGTATGCATTTGAACTAGTAGTTTGAACTACATGGGAGTTGATATCCCTTTGGGTTCTGGGTTTGGATTACTCCATTATGAAATACTTCAGTTTATTTCTTGAGAATGCATTTTAATACAGCACGTGTGCACGGGCATGTACGTATGTGTGCTGGGACAGATACAGGGAAGTTTAAGGAAATACAATTTTATTCCTCATGATAAGATTCTGGGCAAGTCATTCATCTTCCCATATTTCACTTTTCACATCTGAAATGTGGAAGTAACTGCCAGATACCTCACAAGGAATACTTAAACGGTATGCAGAAAACACTGTGAGCATTTTCTAATGAAGAGGTTTTGAAAACTTAGGGGATTTCTCATTCTTCTAAGTAATTGTTACCCATGAAGAATTTTTTGAAAAAGGGACCTCTTGAACTTATTATTTCATTTGTAATTTCCTTCACATGTGTAGTCCAGCAGCAATTATAATAAATCCAAACCCTACTGCTGTTCTTTCCTGGTAACATAAGAGAAAATCTACCCATTAGTTTTTTTCTTGTTTTGCTCATTTATATTGAAAGTAGAAGTGTCAGCTAAGTTTGTTGAAGGACATAATTTGATACTGAGTGGGTTACATCTCAGCTATCAAGCTGCTTTGTTTATATATATCTTTCTAGTTTCCGAGGTGTCTATCAATTGTACTGTTAAGGTCGATGTCAAAACTACCTAAACACTTTAGTGCTTCTTTGTGGTTTTCATGGCTTGCTTTGGAATGTCGTGGTCTATTTTTCTTATATATAAAACCTGCAAATTCTAATTGTGCTTTCATAAGTATTAGAACAGTGCTTGCTTTGTTTTGTTCTTAAAAGTTATTTTTGCATTTCTGGAAGTATAATAAGGAGAAATACAGAAAACTAGTATTGAGTGATTAAATACCTACTAAATGCCTAGTTCTGTTCTAGTCAATGCATTATTTAATCTTCACAAAAATATGTGAGCAAATGGAGCCTCCCTAAGTAATTAGGCTTAGCGAAATTGAATAATTCCTAAATGTTTACATAACTAGCAAGTAGCAAAAACTGTCTTATCTCAAGAGCCTGTGCTATTCAAAGGAGCAAGGGCTCTGAGTTTAAAAACAAAATTGTTTGTGATAGATATAAACTTTTCCTCTCAGACTGCTCTTCTCGTGTCCCAAGGAGGTTTTATTTTATGTTCTTTAAGAAACATGGTTCATATGGTGTCCTCTGCTTTTTTAAGTCCCTCTGCACTCTGAGCCTAACAGGTACTGAGCATAAACAGTAACATCACTATCCTTCTACCAACAGCTAGGAAAACAGGAATCAACATTTCTTGAGTATGTCGTAGGTACTGTCCTTACCACTTTATGTGTATTAACCTATTTAGTGCTCAGAGTAACTCCATGGGGTGTAAGTACTTCCATTATTCCCATTTTATAAATGAGGAACTTGGAACAAAGGTTTAGTAACTTGCCCGAATCCAACAACAAATTAGTGGTCAAGCTGAGGTATAGACCCATCTGGTCAGGGTTTATACCCACCCTATTGTCCACTATACCGTACTTCCTCAGTCAACATTGATGGATTGAAAACTATTGAAAGCAATTTTGATTTAGCTGAAAGGGGATTTATCAGAAGGACATAAAGTAGCTTACTGAATAAGTAGGAAGCCCAGACAGCCAGGCTTGGAAAACAAGCTCAACCAAGAGAGACTGAGGCACAGAGAATACAGCCAGATTGTGCCACGGAAAGAGTTTGGTCACAAGGCCATTGTGGGTGCTGCTGCCACTGGCCAGCACAGGTACTGTGCTGTTGGCCATTGTCTTGCCTCTAGGCCCCTGGGCTTTTAGAACTGCTGCTATTGTTGATGCTGCAGTAATAAAGAAAATCTCTAAGTGTTCTTTGGTCTTTGCATCACTTTGTAAGGTTCAAAGGCCTGGGTAGGAGCAATCACTTGATGGAGCCCAGGACACATGCAAAAAAGGCGGGATTGGGTAAGCTTTTTGATTTAATTGTTCTGGTATATTCTAGGCAGGTTGGTAACAGAATGAAATGACCACTTTCCAAATGTTGGGTCTTAAAGATTAAGATTTTTCTCAGAAAAATTGATCCTATTATGTGGTGAAATAGGTCAGTAAAATGATTTTACAAATTGGCAGTTAAAGAATCAGAAGGCACTGTATGCATATTTGTTAAATCCGGTTAAGCTCTAAGTGGCCACTTTTGGTTCATTCTGTTTGGGTCATGGATAAAGAGCATAACTTCCAAATGGTTGATAAATGTCTGAGTCATAAAATGTCTGAGTCATAAAATACGTTTTTTTTTTTTCTGGTTAATTTTAACTATACTTAAAGATATTCACTGGGTATCTGTAGAAAAAGGGAGGTGGTTTTGTTCATAAATATGGTTGCAATCAGTGTTTTAAGAGTTTGTTTTACAAGCTAAAATTCACTTTAACAAATGCTGTAATAAAACATTTTCAAAGCTTATCTGATGGCTCACTGGTCCATACAGCAAAGTTTTGGTTTGGTACAAGGAGTTGGTTCAGGCCATGAAATAAGATTTGACTTTTATCACATAATACTCAATAGAAACTCATATTACTAGAATTCTGAACTTAATAATAATGATTAAACTTTTTGAGTGCTTACAATATGTCAGGCAGTGTGCAAATACTTAATATATTATATATCTTCTCTTTTAATCCTCATAATAACCCTGTAAAGTAAATATTGACACTTTGAAGACAGAACTGAGGCTGAGAGAAATAATTTGCCTAAGGTCCCACAGGAAGTGATGGAGTTGGGTTTTAAATCCAAACTTGTCTGGCTTTAAGACTTGCTTTTAATGACAGTATTGTGGAATAAAATCATTAATAAAAGCTCAAGTTGACTCTGGATTAGCATTCTGAAATTTTTAGACCAGGAGGTTTTCATGTTACTTGTTCTTAGAGAACAATTTTCTCTTTTTAGATTCAGTAATTCAAAGATTGTCGAATATTCATTCTCTTTTAAAAGAATATAAATTGTTATTTCTGCATAATCTCTTGCTGTTTCTAATGTTCTTACATAGGTTGTCATATTGGAGGTATAGGAAAGATGATTTTCTCCCAGGTTAGGTAGATACACAGGGCATGGCAGGCAACGTGGCATCTCAGATCATCTCCCTTACTCAAAACTGCCCATTATTAAGGATTTGTGAAGTTAGACAATCCTTTCTTGAAGAACCTTCTGTGGGTGTCATCTCCCAATGGCAACAAACTCTAAACTTACCAAGCATCTTGGAATAGAAGATTTGCTTTTACTTGTATTCAGTTTTCACTTTCAGGCTTCAAGTTAAATTTGGTTTTCTGGGATTTGGAAGGCAAATTTTGTTTATTTGTTATGATTTTTATGCTTTTGACTGAGTTTGCTAGTTTGAGATTTTTACTATATGCTTTAGTAAACCTATGAACTATAGAACTGTCCACTTAGCATTAAAAAAGGTTTATCCTAACCCTTATTATGAATTTCTCTGATGCTGAATTTATGGTGCTTATAAAACTACTTCCTATGAAAGGCATATGCAGACAAAGGAAGAAAAAACCTTGGTTCTGAGATCATGACTATAGAGTTCAAGAAGTGGGGGCCACCAGTCGGATGCAGGATAAAAGCCAAATCCACTGGTGTAATAATTGACAGTGGACTGTTGAAATCTAAGTTTTCAAAAATTTAAAACTCATTACATTGGTATTTTTATTTACTCAGATCCTGTTATCTTGAATATGAAACGTTTCCCCCTTCAATTTTATTTTATTGTAGTACTGAGTGTTGGGTTGGGTGTTCAGAGGTTAATAGATTCCAGGCAGCATCTTGGAACCCCTCTACAGGTGGCTTTGTGCACATATATCCAAGACTACCTGGCCAGGCTTAATGCTTTTTAGTCAGATATATAGACACATACTCTGGCAGGTAATAGGGCAAGCTGTTATGTCTTTATTATCATTAGCAGAGCTCTCAAGAAAGGTTTGCTTTTTATTCCAACAAAAGAACTTATTATGTGTGAATGGAAGAATTAATAAGGACTTTTTCATTACTTTGCAAAGTGGTACATCACTGTATGTATGGTACGTAGATTTGTTTTTTCTTATACATAACCATATATGAAAAAAGTAGAAATTATTCAAAATTTGCATGTCATGATAATGATATTTAAAAAGCTCCATGACTCTAGACCTCAGGCCAGGGCTTAGAAATGGTTCCATGGTAGCAAACTAAGCATTCCTTGTAACAGGATGTGAACTGCGACAGAATGCTCTAGGCAATATTAAATTGGGGTGATTTTTAGAAAGTGACAAATGCTTTATGTTTCCTAAATCTGAAATGGGTTCTACCAGCTCTAAACGGCTGCCAAGTTATGTTATCACTTGCCTGCTTTGTAACCGCCTCAATCACTTTCTTCTCAGCCCTGTATGGTGAGATTCGTCAGTTTCGCAAGGCCTGTGGGGAGGCTCATCTCAAAACCATATTAGCAACAGGAGAACTTGGATCTCTTACTAATGTCTACAAAGCCAGTATGATAGCAATGATGGCAGGTAAGTGTTTTATATTCAAATGATGTTTTATATTGAATTGATGTTTTTAGGAAAAATAAGCAAGTGAAAACATTTAGCTGTTATTAAAAGTGGTAACCACTTGGAATTTTTTTGTATGAAGTGTCAGATGTTTTGTGAATACGTGTATAATGAGAAGTGGTCAAAAATTCTTGGCTTTCTTCCACATTTTTGTGGCATTTCATTGCTGCACTATTCTTAGAAGGCAGTAGATGGCTCTCTTGTTAGTGAATTGCCTTCTATTTTATTCTTCGATTATTCATTCATCAACATATATTAGACAGGAATTTCTTTAGCTGTGACTTATTCGTTTCTGTGAATTTAAGCTTTTGATTTTTCTCAGAGATGTGTATCCATACTACCTGAGGCAGCCTCTGCTTTTGTTAGTGTTAATTTTTTAAAATTTCATGAGGTATCCTATCATGAGGTATTTTTTATACTTTCAAATGTAAGTTGACTTATTCTTTTTCTCCATGAACAGCAGGTCCATGCATTCAGACATTAAAGCTTAAAACCTAGAAGTCATGTTTGATTCTTTCTTTTTGTAACTTTCACAAAATGTCAGCGAACAAGTCTCGAGATCTCGCAAGACCTCTTTCCTATATCCAATACATCTTCCCTCCATCCTGAGTGCTCCTCTTAGGACCATGGTCCTCCACATGCATTATGTCAGCTGGTTTCCCTGTCTCTACTTTTGTCCCCTTCCAAGCTATCCTCCACACCATGTCCCAAATGATCTTTTAAAGATGCTAATTTGGTTGTGGTTCTGCTTGCGTAAAATCCTGCAGTGACTTTCCTACATCTTCAAGGTAAAGTGTAAATTCCTTAATCCTTGTTTTTAAAAAAAAATCCTTCCTGAGACCCTGCCTGTGCCTATGCCGTGTCATTTTCCCTTCACGCTGTGTTCTCCAGCCATGAGAATGACTCACAGTTCCCTGCGGATGGTGCCATGCAACCTTTTTGAGTCTGTGCCCCCTGCCTGGAATGCCCTTTGCCCAAATAACTCCTGCACATCTTTGGGTTCAGCACAGGTGTCATCTTCTTCAGGAATATTTCCCCTGAGACTGCTTCCTCCCCTGCCACATGGCTCATTATCTCCTCTGTGTGCCCCATAGCGTTCTATTGGAACTTCTGTCAGATAACTTACCACCTTGTACTGAGATCGAGTGTTGAATTTCTAGGTGCCCCACCAGGGACCCCATTTCTGATAAAGATACTTGGCTCCTCAGGACTTAATTCAGGGTCATTCATTGTAGTCACCCTCTAGATTTTTACCCTCTTGTGTACTTTTTCAATTGTCCATCAGACCTAGTAGATCATTCCTTGGAATTCTCCTGAAAATCAACCTAGTAGGCATTAACGGTGCCTGGTAGGTTGATTTTCAGGAGAATTCCAAGGAATGATCTACTAGGTCTGATGGACAATTCAGAAAGTACACAAGAGGGTAAAAATCCATTGGCTCTGGTCATGGAGGCTGTATCTAGAAAATATCTGCTCTTGTCATCTCATTTAGAGCAAAATCTCTGAGAAATCAAAGGATAAGAAGGAATGGAACACTTTGAACAGGCGTTCGTTAGTGAGGTTGGCATTTCAAAGGTCCACTGTAGTAGAAGACTCACTGCAACCCTTAGGAACCTGGAAAGCCCCTTGGAGTCTTAGCTAGACAGGCAGCCTCCCTCTCAAGCTCGTTGCCATAACAAGGGATTGTTAGCCCAGGTAACAAACTAAAAATCTGGAAACAAATAGCAGCCACGTGTAGTGCATGCTTTGTGGTAGCTGCACTGTTGATTGTGCACACAAGGCTGAGATAACTTCTCACGGTCACTTCTGAGCCAATCTTGTGGCATCTGTTAGCCCATCTGTGATCTAGGCCACAAAGTATAGTCATTCCGGGAGGCCAGCCATCCGTATCCTATCCATAGCACTCGTGGTAGGAACGTGGCGTTAGGTCATCGTGCTCAGTAAGCCTCTCTGTTCCACCCTTCACCCCCTACCCCTATCCACAGAAAAAAACATGATTGGAAACATGCTTTCTCTCTGTTTCATCCTGTCTGCTTGTTTTCCTATTCATGTTGTCTTTCTACTTCATTTAAACAGCATCTATGAAGCTCTTATTGTGATCATATAACTGTATTTGTGGTGTGCTTTATCATATACTTTTAAATAATAATCCTTAACCTTCACATCAATCTGGGAGTTCAAGAAACCTAGGATTAAGTGACTCACTTAATGTCACAAAGCTAATAAATCACAGGTATCATTGTGGCTGCAGGTTTATTGCTTTTTCAGTGGTAACAGCTGTTTTCCAGGGCACCATGCTAGATTTCACCATGAATGAAAGACAGTCTTTGTGAAGTATAATGTATGACAGCATCCTGCATACTTCTTGGCCCACAGTTTATACTTCCTATTCTACAAAGGCATAAAATAGAATTGAAGTATTTTTTGAGGAACTTTTTAAATTTTAAAATATTTTTTACATTCTTCTTCCAGGTTTATATGTAGCTCTCACAAAGTAATCACCAACAAAAATAATATTAAAATTTCTAGGCCGGGCATGGTGGCTCACACCTGTAATCCTAGCACTCTGGGAGGCTAGGGCGGGTGGATTGCTCAAGGTCAGGAGTTCGAAACCAGCCTGAGCAAGAGCGAGACCTCGTCTCTACTATAAATAAAAAAGAAACTAATTGGCCAACTAATATATATAGAAAAAATTAGCCGGGCATGGTGGTGCATGCCTGTAGTCCCAGCTACTCGGGAGGCTGAGGCAGGAGGATCACTTGAGCCCAGGAGTTTGAGGTTGCTGTGAGCTTTACGCCACGGCACTCACTCTAGCCTGGCAACAAAGTGAGACTCTGTCTCAAAAAAAAAAAAAAAATTCTGACTAAAATCACATTGTTTCCTACCTCTGTGGTATTTTTTATTGATTTATTTTTGAAAAATCAACTTCATTGAGGTAAATCTGCATTCAGTAAAATTCAAGTGGTTAAGTGTACACTGTGATGAGTTTGACAGTTTGTATATACCTGTAACCACTACTCTAATCAAGAAGTAAAACATTCCCATCTTTCTAGAAATATCCTTTGCATCCTTTTGCAGTCAATTCCATTCTTCTTACCTGTTGCCCAGGTGTGACCGTTGATCTGATTTTGTCACCATTCATTAGCTTTGCCAGTTTTGAACATCATCTAATCACACCATATGTACTCTTTTGTGCCTTTTATTTATTTATTTGCCCTCACTAAAGATAACAGATGTGAGATCTTAGGAGTTTGCTTAGAAGTATTCCATTGTACAAGTATACTGAATTGCTGAAATTATTGGGGTAACATTGTTTATAATATGTTTTTCTTATTCTGATATCTGTAGGATCTGTAGTTATATCTCATTCTTTATTCCTTATTGGTCACTTTTGTTTTCTTTCCTGTTGTTGCTTTTGTTGTTTTTTTTCCTGTTATTAGTGTTCTCCTTTTCCTCCTCTGCTTCTGCTTCTTTAACAAAGAAAGTCTCGTTAGAGGTTTGCCAATTTTGTTATTTTTTTCAAAGAGCCAATTTTTTGTTTTGTTGTGTGTGGGGTTTTTTTATTATTTTCAGTTAAAGGTGTTTTCTAATTTTCCTTGTGATTTCTGTCATTATTTAGAATGTTATTTAGTGTGTTATTTAGAATGAGATGTTTAATTTCTAAATATTTTTGTGCTCTTCTGAATATCTTATTGTTATTGATTTATAACTTAAAATTCTGTTATGCTCAGGGAATATCCAATGTGAGAATCTTTTGTCTTTTGAAGTTAATAAGTTTTATAGCTCATTTTATGGTAAAATTTAGGTATATGCTTCAAGTACACACTTAAAAGAACGTATATTTGCAAATGTTAGTGCAAATGTCAGATCATATTGGTTGATAGTGTTTCAGATCTAGTTTTGTTTTGTCTTTGGTCTACTAGTTCTATTTATACTGAGAAGGTGTTAACATTTCTAAATATGATTGTGGATTTGTCTATTTATCCCTTTTGTTAGTTTTTCTGTTCATGTATTTTGGAGCTCTCTTATTAGGTACATATGCTTTTAGGATTGTTGTGTTTACCTGTTGATACAGCACATTCATCATTATAAAATGTCCTTCTTTATGTCTGGTACTTGTCCTTGTCTGAATGTCCAGCTTGTCTGACATTAAAGTAGCCACACCAGCTTTCTTGTGTTTACTATTTACATGGTATATCTTTTTTCTTTTTATTTTCAGTTCATCTGTGGCTATACATTAAAAGTGTATCTTTTGTAGGCATTCTTTTTTTAAATTCATTGTGACAATCTCTGCTTTTTATTTAGTGTTTTCATTTACATTTTATAAAATTATTGATATGGTAGGAGTTAAGTCTGTCATCTTACAGTTTTTTTCCTTGTAAAATTTTGTTCCAATCTATTTTTTTCTCTTTTCTTGCCACTTTTTCAGTTCATCAGCTATTTTATAGCATTTCATTTTATTTCTTATATTGGCTTTTTATCTAAATTATTTCTTTGTGGTTTATCTAAATTTTTAAGTGGTTACTTTAACAATTATAATATGCATCCTTAATTTATCACAGTCTACTTAGAATTAATGTTTCACTTTACACTTCATATGTCAAAAACGTAAGACCCTTACAATAATTTTATTTATACCCTCATTGGTCCTTTGAATTATTTTGATGTTCTTCTTCTGCACATATTATAAACCCATATTATAATGATGTAATTGTTTTGACAGTCATTTGTCTTTTAAGGAAATATAAAAGAAGAAAAAACTAGGATAAGATAGTATTTTCACATACATATATTATTTCCATCTGTATTCCTTTCTGTATATCTGAGTTCCATTTTGTATAATTTGGCCTGGAAGCTTCCATGGGTATTTTTTGCAATGCAAGTCTGTTGGTGACGAATTCTTTCTGGTTTTGTTCATGTGAAAATGTCTTTATTTCACCCCCATATTTGAAGGATAGTTT